TCTTCTATTTTCAGGCGTTTCTCTCTAACTGAAAGTGGACATGCAGTTAGCTGTGTCACTTACTTCCCTGATTCTGTTGTAAAAAAACCCTTACTCATGCTTCAGACATGAGTGAACAATTCAAGCCCGTCAGACTTCACGTCTGTAAAATAGCATAAATTAACAGTATCTTATCTATAGTTTCCAGAACGACACTTATCTATGCAATCTATTCTTGCACAATTATCCAAGAAGATGAGAAATACTACAAGTTGACTTGAAGCTGAAAATTATAATTATAATGCATGCATAAGAGCCAGGTTAATACTGATACATGGTGCTGTTAATGAAACACAGACAGTCATACTAAACTTTATCACTATAAAAGCAAAATAATACTAACAGTAAATAAAACAACTGTAACTCCTGAAATCCAATCCTAACAACGTGCAGTGCAGCATGGTGCAAGAATTTTTGTTTGTGTGACATGTTTGGTCAAACCTTGTTTTCCCAGAAATGTTGTACATCACTGATGTTGGATGTCGTGATTTTTTTGACTGTGTGCGGCTTTGGAGGTTAATGACACAGTTCAAAATATCTTGTGTTTATTTTATCCTTTTATAGCTTTTCCTGTAGCTATATGTACATATCTCTGTTATATTGCAACAAGAACTGCAAAAGTCTTGTATTCAGTGGGTTTATGTTAGATGAATGTAAAGTTTGGTGATTTTAATTAAATTACCCAGCACATTCCTGTTGAACACTAATTCTTTTGTTAGTGGGTACAGGGCGTAGTGTTGCCTTGTAGCGCCAGATCATAGGATACACTGCTTACTCTCAACACATAGTAAATAGCAAGCAGCCCACATTCCAGATGGAAATATGCTACTGAACCTATAAAAGAAGAGCAAGTGATAGAAAGTGAGGTTGTTAAAAGAGAATGAAACCAGCGAAGTCATCAATGTACCTAACTTTACACTCACCTCAAAGCCGCATGTACAGCTAATTTTTGGTTTTATATACAACACTGTCTTTGGAGTTGTGATTTTTTTTTTTCTTGGATAAAATCAGCATCTAAGCTATAACTCTTTTAAGGCATCACCAAGTACCCCGTTCCATTAAGACTACTTTTCTAGTAAAATGTTGGTGTGTATATGTACACTGTGCATGGGCAGGTTATATATAAAACAAAGAGTGGGTGCTTCAGTGTCATTACCTCTTTGTATGGGAAATCGGTCACATTGTCACTTCGCATTTGGCAAATCAGCAAATAGACAGACCTGACAAAACTAATGTCCATATTCTTTGGTTCTTTTACAGGAAAATATGGGATACCAAAGTTGCAGATCCTTCAACAAGGTAATAAAATGACTGAAGAATATACTCTCCTTCATGTTTTAGCAGTATTTGACCAATATGTAAATTTGAGATACAGGCAGGCCTAACGAGTTAAACTTTCTTTAAAGGGCCTGAAAATCTATTTTAAGCTTTTTAATATGTATGAGTGATGGGATCCTACATGAATATGATTTAGTAACATTTGAATCAAAATGTGATGAAAGTTGCTAATTTGTTTGTGTTCATAGGATAGTCGGTCATAATGTACACAATTCTGAAGTAAACCCTCAGTCCCGATGAAGCAGATTAGATGAATTTTGAGTTCTAAACTAAATAAACACTTGTTTTTTCCTCAACTTTAAGTTTGATTGTTGCCGATTACATCTTCAGTTTTTAATGTTATCACTGAAGATCAAAATGAAGTTGTCAGGGATGCTAAGAATATGTTACCAAAAGCATATTTTCTCTTGTTTCTAGACTGAGTATCATGGCAAAGAAGAAGGGATTCTGGGTAGAAAAGGTTCACTGTCTTGGCACTGAGAACACCTTGTCAGAGTGCCATGCTCAGCTATCAATCCCCCGTAGTCCCGCCCCTTGTAAGAATGGGAGACATGCAGTGGTGAAATGTGTCCCAGGACCACAGTTTTCTCGCATCTCCTCAGGAAGACCCCAGGCACCTCATCCAGCTGTGGTAAGATTAATAACGTTAGGCCTAAACACGCACTGTCATACAGTGTGCGTATGAACTGCTCATAAACATAAGCTTCATTATGCTGCCCTGTCCAGCCTGTGCGTCTGAAGGCAGGCCCAAGGCTGGGTGAGGGTCGCGTGGAGGTGCTTCGAGAGGGCAAATGGGGGACCATTGTGGACCACATGTGGGAACGAGCGGCAGCCAGTGTGGTGTGCAGAGAACTGGGCTTTGGCACTGCCAAGGATGCCCTGCATGGAGCCTTTATGGGCCAAGGTGAGAGACTGAGACACAAATTCTGAAAAAGTTCAGGTTTAATCCAGTTGTTCTGAGTCTGCAGTTTCGATGTTTTAATATGTTTTTTGTGCGTCATGGTATTCCAAAGAAGATTGGGAGACTTGTCTGGTCTTTTGCCTACTTTTTGCTTATCTCAGACGCCGCACCCGTCTGCCCTGATAATGTATGGGCATGTGCATTTGTCTGTCTGTGTATATTACCTTGTGAAGCTGCAAATGTGTTGATTGCAGTATCTCCAGCTGTGATTACACGAGTCCTTAGCCAGGGCAACCAGCTGCCTAAACACTATGCACACATACACACTCACACACAAAATCTAATACTATAAGCCACGGTGGTTAAAACTGGCATTTGGTAACTAAAGCCACAGATATAATCTTGCTAACTTCAAGCAAGCTTTTCATTCACTCACTGAGTGCTGTGGTATTTTTCCTTCAATTTCAAATGTCTACTTTTGGTGACGCACAGGTTCACTCAGGATCCAGCTGCGCCAGTGGTCTCCCCACCCTGGTGAGATGTGAGAACAGCTTCCCCATGCCTCAGGCTATGGTGTAGTCTTTAATCATGCTAATCAAAATGAAATGTGAGATGACAGTCTGCTGGTTTAGCTTTTCAGTTGCTCATACATAGATGATTTTGTGTGTGTTGGATTAGTCCCTTGATATTTATGGTACCTTTCATTTTGATGAGTTTGACAGAACTAGAATCTGTTTCAGTTGGCTCTTCTGAAGGGACTTAATATTAACACCCCTTGTTGTGTAGTTTTAACTAGCACTTTTAGTTGCTGGGTCGGGGTTCAGGTACATCAGCAGTCTGAGGCAGAAGTGTCTAATCTACATTTGTGTATGTGTAAGGCATACAAATGCCAGCATTGTGCATGTGTGAAATAAAGTCAGTGTAAGTACTATAACATTAACATGTAGCTGCAGTTGTCATTGGGTTTGACAAATGGCAGGTTTACTTTTATCTCGTATTACTGTTATCTCACTCCTGGAAATGCAGGTTTCTCATACCGTGTTTCTTTAGTTGGTGATTCATTCACTCACATGCTTGAGCATTTTGTGGCAGTGCAATGACCAGTGCATAACTCTAGCCATTTAGTATTGTCCTGCCCTTGAAATTTGCTTTGCTCGTGGGTGTGGTAATTTTGGTTCCCAGCACAGAACACATGGTGCACAGGTGCTAAGAATAAATGTCTCAGAGCCACAGCTATTTCTGGCACAAAGTCAGTCAGCTGCCACTTGGGTGAGCTTGTCAACAAGTGAAAAATAAATACTTTGAGCAAATGCACAAGAATGAGTCAATAATTCTTAAAATGTAATTTAACTCTCTCCAACCAGTAAAAACATTTAAATTGGCATAAATGAATATGAGTGATTCTTAGAGTATATTGTATATGTTATCCACAGCTGTTTTATACCCTATAAAAACATACAGTTTGTACATACATTAGATGTTTTAGTGTTACGGGGTTACTGCAGAGGGATTATTCCTTATATCGGCTCATCATCATCTCAGGTGAAGCCAGTGACTGTTGTGTCATCTGCAAATTTCAGGACCTTAAACCGACGGGCCTCCTGATAAACTGTAGGTCTAGAAGGTCCCTCGCTGCTCTGGAGGAAGAAGGCTGCTGGGGAGACTCTGCATCGCTGGGGCACACAAGGAAATTTTTTGTAGCTGTTTGTGTTTTGAATTACGATGCAAATGCTCCTGTACCAGATGTTATGATATATAACTATTTATGATATAGAATACCACAGAACGGTGACTGACTGACTGGTGCAATCATGTACACTACTTCAAGAAACTATTTAATTAATTGCATCATCATTGTACTAATTCATGTTTTGAGCATATCCATTAATCACCACACCCTCTTATCAATATTCACTTTGATTCAGCTCTTCTGTAATGTGCACTGCTGCACACACATACAGGAAATAAAATAGGTGTGCTGCTTTGCATTTGCTTTTGCACTTGTCCAATTACAGCAGTGTTTTAACACACTTCACATGCACCCACGTACACATATACATGCACATACACAACATAGAGCATTCCCCCATTTTGTCTGTCTCTGTCTTACACTATCCTTTTCACTGTCACAGTAGGATTATTATACATCAGAGTCCTCTCATAGCTTCGTCTTTATAACATGTTGTATGTTAGACATTTTCCAGGTGCTCAAAGGCCACTTAAACAAAGCTTGTATATCACTGTAAAAGGCCTAAATTAGACTGTTTGATAGAACAGATCCTCACTGAGAAATATGTCTTTAAAGAGTGAATTGTTTAACATGTAGTTTTGTACAAATGTTTCATTTGTGCATACATTTAATTTCTGTTGAAAATCATTGGCTCTCAAAATACATCAACATAGAAATAGCACCGTCAGTCAGCATGTGAGAAAATGCCTCCGAATTTTGAGTCAGCGGTTTGTAGCAACAGGAGAGAGCACTATGCTAAGCAAACCTGATAATGTGATAAGGGGTGTGGTTGACTGGCTGGTTTGCTGGAGAGGGTGGTACACAGTTTGCCAGTCAGCAAGCTCACTCATCAGATTTGTTGCACATATGCACTTATGTCTGCTTATAACTTGTTAACCAGCTTTGAAATCCTGTTGACAAAGGAAACTTGAATTGAATGCATCTAAAAAACCCACAGGCATGTCTGTTTACAAACTGAGATGATTTAGCACTTGGCTAAGAAACAGATTTGTCCAGTGACATAAAGTTTTTGTCAGAGGCAGCGTTCCATGGAAAGAAAAACACTACACACAGTACACTGATGGGCCTAAAATGGAGTGTAATTTCAAAGAGGAAAACAATACAATTTCTCTCGTAACCACCAACCAACTATTTGTACTATTCTCAACAAGAACGTGACCAATAGCACCTTGTTTCCATCTGCTAAAGTGAATTTTATAATCTGTCCAAATGATTGGTGGCATCTACCAATTCTAATTATATGGTAATCAAGCTCAACCTGTTTCTTGTAAATGCTAATGCCATATATATAAAAACAACCCCATGTCTTACTAACTTAAACAGTGGGAGTTTGGATTTAGCTTGTGGCCTTTACCGTAAAGATAGAGGTGCAAGTGGTTTAGATGTGTCTTTTTCATATGTATGAACCCACACATGCTGACCAGTATGGAAGAAGGCTGTCAGTCTACCAAAACCAACACAGAGACAGAGTGGGTTAGGCTGCAATTCGGTCTCTACCATTTCAGTCGTCTTCCTTCTCACTCTTCTTTGTTGGTTTTTCCTCTCTTTCCTCCAGCGTATGTGGTTTTGGTTGTGTATAATTCAATGCTATCCGATTCCCAAGTTTGTAGTTTGTGTCTTTTGTTTTAAGAAAACACTGAAGCCATAGTTTGTTCTGTGTTTTTGTATACTGGCATCATTATGGCCCCAGCTTGTTGGCTGTCATAAAACCATTTTTATACTGCATTTTTATGTTGGCGTGGAAATTGTTTGGTTTAAAATTACAAATGTATATGTGTGAAAGAACAGAATTGGCCTTGTTTACACCTACCCAGGGTGGTCGTTGTTGTTGTTGTGCCTAAAGCAACAGAATGGTGGTAATGAGGTGTGACTCATGCCCAAAGTAGATGTTGGTGCTGCTGCTGCTGCTTGTATTTTTGCATTTTTGTCATGACAGATAGGAACTTTTCACTGTTGGTTTGATGCTATGGTAGCAAAAGCTGATTGACGTAAAGGGAATATAGTGCTTCACAGTGAAGTCTGTTAATGGCATTGTGTTTATGTTTTGTCAGCATACTATTTAAATCTACCACATCTCCTCCTTCGTCTGCAGGTACTGGACCTATCCATATGAACAGTGTCCAGTGTATCGGGTCAGAGCGCTCCATCCTAGACTGCTACTTCCAGGAGGTCCAACCATGGACATTCAAACACAGCCAGGATGCCTCAGTGCGCTGTAATGTCCCCAAGACTGGAACAGAGAACACAGTATGAAAACGACATCATCACAACACATACACTTATCACTTGTCACTGATAATACATCACCCATTTAATCCCTTTAATCTAATGGATTTCCAGGTGCGGCTTGCTGGTGGTAGAGTCCCATCAGAAGGACGTGTAGAGGTGCTGATGGAGGCTGGGGGTCGTAAGCGCTGGGGCTCTGTCTGTAGTGAGAACTGGGGCATCAACGAGGCCATGGTGGTATGCAGACAGCTTGGCCTGGGTTTTGCTGCCAATGCTCATCAGGTAACAACACAACATTAATTACTGACAAGGTGGCAGCAAGCAGGTCATTTGGATCGTTGTCTGTAGTGCCTGAGTAATTTTGAAACCTTTCTCAAAGGCCTGGTTTTCCATGTCTGTCTAATTCATATCTCTAAGATTTGTCAAAATCCCATCAGCATTGTCTGAGTTATTGATGAAAAACAAACAAGATGTGTAAACAAATGAACACATGCAGGGCAATCCATCATCACAGACGCTGTATTCACTGTGGTGGACAATGAGATATGATACTGCTTAGTAATAGAAGGCCTGACAAGCTTTCTGTGCCGTGACACCTCCCACGCCCTTTCGTTGACAGGAGACCTGGTACTGGCGTGGCGACCCAAATACAGCTGATATAATTCTGAGTGGAACCCACTGTATGGGCACTGAGCTTTCAATTCAACAGTGTCGTCGTAACAACCATATCCACTGTCCTCGCGGAGGTGGAACTAAGGCCGCTGGGGTCACCTGTTCAGACAGTAAGTTGAGCTGCCTCCTCTGGTTCTAAACCTGTTTGAATCCTAATGTAACCTCTCACATCTGACCTGCTTCAGCGGCACCTGACCTCGTCCTGGATGCCCAGCTGGTCCAGGAGACAGCCTACCTGGAAGACCGACCCCTCCACCTGTTGACATGTGCCAATGAAGAGAATTGTCTGTCCTCATCTGCTGCCAGGATGAACTGGCCCTATGGTCACCGACGCCTGCTGCGCTTCTCCTCCCGCATCATGAACCTGGGTCGATCTGATTTCAGACCCAAAGCTACAAAAGACAGCTGGACATGGCACCAGTGTCACAGGTAGAAGATCTCTAAAGAGTTTATGGAGGTGTTACATTGCTTGGGTGTGTAGGTTGCTGTAATAGAATAAACTATTTAAAAGCTTACTGTATGTGAGTTGGTGTGGTCACCTTTGTGGCTATTCTAAGTTATTTCTCTAATTTTCCCTGCTGTTGTCATAGGCATTACCACAGCATCGAGGTGTTCACACATTATGACCTGCTGACTCTGAATGGAACGAAGGTTGCAGAGGGACACAAGGCCAGTTTCTGCCTGGAGGACACGTACTGCCCCGATGGTAATGTTCACCACTATTCATGAGTCCCAGTGAAATACCCATTCCCATTAGTGGCAGGAAATTAATATCAATATATCAGCTACAGCTATTTAGACTTTTACTTTTACTTGTGGTTAATGTATTAGATCGCCACTGTTGTTGTTTGTTCACTCTCCATTTACTTGTTATATCATGGATGAAATAGCTCATAGGAAAAAGATGCAGTCATATGTTGTCTAACAATTCAGGAGGCTCTTAAAAATAAAGGGAATGCCAAGCATTAAATGAGCTTTGATGTTGTGATTGATAGTGTTGCCGGTGTGTGTACTGTGTGTATGTGTGTCAGGTCTTCAGAAGCGGTTCTCTTGCTATAACATGGGTGACCAGGGCATTTCTGTGGGCTGCTGGGACACCTACCGCCACGATATCGATTGTCAGTGGGTCGATATGACAGACGTACGGCCAGGAGATTACATCTTCCAGGTCAGAAGTCGTTTCATGTCTCTCCCCTCTCACCTTTTTTTTGCAGTTTGGGAACTATGCTTGTTTTGCTTTCTTGCCAAGAGTTAGGTGGTAGGATCTGTGCTACTCTCATGTCTGTTTCCTTATCTTACTACAAACTACAAACAGCTTCTCAGCTGGGTGCAGTAACTTCCTGGAGTCTTGTCTTGGGGTGTCTACTGTAATTGCCTTGTACCCTCATGGTGACAGCAAGGCTCCAGCGGCAGCCAGCTGTAAAGTAATTGGACCAATTCCCCTTTAAAACTGCAACCTGATGTCTTTATCCTCATGTTTTTGTGTGGATTAAACAAACAAGATTATGTATGTTAGTGAGCTTTAGAGATGCTGGTAGGCACAGTAGACTTTGTTATCTTTGGACAGAGCAAGGCTAGCTATTTACCCCTGTTTCCAGTCTTGGACTTTCTGGTGGCTGGTTGGAGTTCCCATCTATTTCTGTAAAACCTCCTGACCTCCCTCATCACAGTCATCACCTCAACCATTTCTCTGTCTGTCATTACTTTGACTCAGGTTAATCACTCTAGTCACTGTGGCTATGAGACTAAAACACATCAAAGACTCCATCTCCCATTATCCTCCATTTTCAGTTCAGACTAGTGACCCCACCATGGTATGCAGCAGCCCTCAGATCTTGGCTTGCTGCTAATTACCTCTCAGCTGTGGAAGACTAGTTGTAGTGTAAATCAGTTTGTCTGAGAGTTGACACTCAGGCTTTGCTGTTATATATGCCTATATAATTATAAGAAGAGGGATTGATAGTGGAGGAAAATGGACCTGAGATAAATGAGAGAAGGAAATTGGGGGAAAAACTAATGAAGGTGAAAATGTCAGGATCATTTGAGGAGACAACCAAATTTAGCAGAAAAAAAAGCAGCAGAAAGAAGCAGAGTAAGCACAAAGTAAGCCAAGCAGGGAGTTAGTAATTTACCAAAAATGTAGAACGGGAAAATACAAACAGCTTTTACAGCAGCTCTCCTCGTCTCTGCTGTGTTCTTACACTGCAGATGATGGCTGACTTTTCTTATCCTGGGCTTTGGGAGGCCTGTGCTTGAACCACCCAGTGCTAATGAAACACACCCGTTATCCAAGTTAACTATCGCTTCCCTTTAGTCAACAAGCACCTAGTTCCCCCTTCCATTAGGAATGGCTAATTTGCCACTAAGGAATTCCTCCTGCCCTGTTTTTATTTTTATTGCAATGAGCAGCACATTCTGCCACTGAACCAGCACCTCATGCACTCTGGTCCAGCAGTGTAAATTAACAGACAGTTTTTGTGCATTCACTAAGTTTGCCTTCTTTCTCACTGTAGATGTTTGTAACCTGTACTTACACTGGGTGTAGCAGTTTACAGGGCAGCTATTAGAGTAAATGGCTTCTCAGTATTACCACCAGACCAGATTAAGAGAATGGTTGTATCAGCAGTTATAGAGCTGCTCAGCAAATGACAAACTATTAGTACAGTGTATGACAGCACTCAGAATAAGACCAATTTCAGACATATAAACATGCTTATTGAAACAGATTTACATTTCAGGCGAATTCAGTCCAGCATACCTGGTCTTATAAATATTTTATAGTTCCTCCAAGACCTACCATTATGCTCTGTGCTTTGCATAACACATGGTAAAAGCAAGTGTTTCACCTCTATATTTTACAGTGTTCAGTCCATATGCTCAGTTGTAGACTATAAAGTGAGCATCATTTCAGTGTTAATTTCATGAGAAAGTAAAAGTACTATACAGTATACTTATCTTTACAAATAGGAACACCATATGGAAAAGCCATCCAGCTTTCAATAAATGAGAATAAGATTAACTATAAAAGCAACACCGGCCATAAGTCCTGTTTAATATCAAGCCCTGTAACAATTTTACATCTAACTGAAAGAGGAGACTTATTCCCTGTTTGTCAATGGGCCTGTCCAGCTGGAGATACAGAACCTGATGAAAGTGAGACCAAGTGATAAATTTTCCCTGTTTACCAATAAACGTTAGTCACAGTGATGAAGTACACAACGGCAATTCATAAGGTCATAAACATCTGCTGCAGCGAAACAGAATCAGGCTTATTGTCAACAGAATTTGTGTATGATTGTGTTGTTTTGCAGGTGGAAGTCAACCCCACAATGGACATGGCTGAGTCTGACTTTATGAACAATGTCATGAGATGTCGGTGCAAATACGATGGCCAGAGAGTTTACATGTATAGCTGTCATGCGGGTGAGGACAGAAAACCCATTCCTCTTTCTAACTTAATTTGCCCCTTCCTCTGTCACTGATAGTTGTGCTTTTTTCCCTTATAGGTGATGCATACAGTGCAGAGACTGAAGACCTGTTTGAGCACCAGAGGCAAATCACTAACAACTTTGTGTAGCCCATCTCACAGTCCAGTGCGAAGGCCTTCCAGTAGGGCCCAGAGACTACTCAGGGCGGGCTGAGGTCAATGAACCTTAGGACCAACACAGTAATAGAACAAGCAAAATGGCGCCTGTTAATCTTGTCAGATGTGGCTAAAATATCCATAAGAGCATTATACAGTATGACAGCAGTGACTATTGCAGACTCTGTTCTCAACTCAAACAGCCGTTTGACAACAAGTGGAACATTTTTACTCTAGTTATGTAAGAAGATATTGAATATTGATTCACAGCATATTGATTTTTGTGAATGTGGACTACTAGTAACTTAAGTTAGTTATTCAAAACATATATACGTGTATGTGAAAGATTTATCACCATTACTAATCTGTCACAGATACAACAGGGAGGTTGGCTCTGTCGGAAACTTTTAATCCCTAGCAAGAAGATACGAAAATTTCTTTTGCAAAAATCTGATTTACTGCACAAGCAAACGATACTAAATTAGCATCATTTTCCCAAATTCTTCACCTGGATCATTTGTAAGTATGTAGTGCATTTACATTACTTCAGTACTGGTGCTCTTTAACAATACTGTATGCCATGATATTAACCTCAATATGTTTCACATGGACAGTGTTGGATAGTGCATTTGGGTAGTTTTCTTTTAGAGTTAATAAGGTATTTTATTATTACTTTGGTTTTAACAGATTCATTGTTTTACAAAAGGTCAGTCATGCTACAGAGTTTTGCTTCTCATCTTGAATAGGTAAGAAGAGGTCAAATGATTTTTATGGAACAAAGCACTTTATCTTTTAAACATCAGTATTTTACTTTTGGCCCCACTTTTTTAATTAACGACAAAGCTGGCATTTTAAGGTGTTTATGAAATATAAGGTTTGTGTTTAGTTTTCATATTCAGTGTACTATTTATGCTGTATGATTATTTATTCATGGAATTCACACTTACAAAGCATGCTCAGATTTTGTAAGCTAGCCTCTAACAGTACTGACTTTTTTGGTTTTTCAGACATAACGAACCAGGGAGTTATATTAGAATGTTCCCATGATACAAATGAAAAATTGTTGACTTATTTTATTTGTTATTAAAATAATTGTAACTGTAGAGTTTTTCTCTTCCGGCCTCCAGCTGATGGGAGGGAAACCCAGCCTTACAAAACTACAGTATTGTGGTAGGGTGTCAGGCTGGGTTTTGTTTGGGTTAGACTTAAAGTTATGATTAAGGATAGGGCTAGAGCATATGCTTTATAAAGAAACACTATGGATTTGTTACTTATGGAAGCATGTAACGCAAGAATCTGCATTAGCATCTTTACACAAACTAATGTAGCTACAAGAAAGATTTGGAGCTTATACGGCATTTAGTAAGGGAGACAGCGACTGAAGAAAGAATGAGAAAAGGATGAAGTTTGGAGAAAGACTTATGCAGTGTTTACTACCATAACTAACTTTTGTAGGCAGCTGTACAGCAACCGCAAGCTGGCATGTTCAGCTCTCCAAAGAGAACAACATGTTTCTCTAAGAGAAAAAAATAAACTCCTCAATTCTCGCTTCAACACAGTACACAGTGGCCTTGTTTTACTAAAGCTGGGCCTGCTAAAATGTACTGTACAGTGGGGCAAATAAGTATTTGATACACCGCAGATTTTTCAAGTTTTCCCACTTACAGAGAATGGACAGATCTGTAGTTTTCATCGTAGGTACACCTCAACTGTGAGACACACGAATCTACAAAAAATTCCACTAAATCACATTGTTAGATTTTTGAAAAATTCCATTTTATTGCATGAAATAATTATTTGATACAATAAAAAAAATAGAACTTAATATTTGGTACCTAAACCTTTGTTTACAATTACAGAGGTCAGACGTTTCCTGTAGTTCTTGACCAGGTTTGCACACACACTGCAGCAGTGATTTTGGTCCACTCCTCCGTACAGGTCTTCTCCAGATCTTTCAGGTTTTGGGGCTGTCGCTGGGCAACACGTAGTTTCAGCTCCCTCCATAGATTTTCTATTGGGTTCAGGTCTGGAGACTGGCTAGGCCACTCCAGGACCTTGAAATGCTTCTTATGGAGCCACTCCTTAGTTGCCCTGGCT